GAGCAGCTTCTGGAAATTGATGATTGATTACTGCACAATTACTACTGAAAGCAGCAGGACCCCTCCCCCTCCTAATCACAGCTTTTGTCACTAAAAGAGGATTATCACAAAGGAGCTGCTGGTTAGAGCCACTTCCTCCCTGAACATCAATGAAAAACTTATCATGAGATTGTGTGCATACATGAAATATATCAGTTAAATCCCCAGCCAGAGTTTGCACATCTGCAGACAGGTAAGTGTGCATTATTCTCAGTTTCTGGGGCACTATATCTGACCCCCCACCCCACCCATGAGATCCTGGCTGAAAACCGAGTCTAATTAAAGCTGGTCTTCAATGCAAGGTGCTCTGAAACTTTAGGGTCTCCCTTAACAATTAAATGCAGGAATAAAAGAAAAAAATGTTTGATTATCCTCTCTCTTGTTCTCCGTGATTCTACCTCTACCCATTATTGTATTCACTAATGGATCTCTACGTATACAGAGAGACAGCAGAGAGAAAGGGCAGATGTATAATCAAGAGCAGCAGCAAAACTTGGAGAAGTGGGTCCAAAAATGTACAGCGTCATGTTTGAAGGACGGGGATGAAAAGTGTTGAGAGATTCTGGACAAATGGAGACAGGGTGGAGAAATGTTTACATGGCAGGTAAGAGCTGTGATTCTTTGAACTTCTGAGAAGTGTGTGAGCGATGCTGCAAGAGTTCTGCAGGAATATATATATATATATTTATATACACACTTTTCTCACTGGAACATATTATGCAAAACTCACCTTTTGCTTGCTTTTGTGCTGGCATGTGCGTCATTATTTCCTCTATAAGCACTCCAAACGTAAAATAAACCAGTACATCCATTTTCTGTCAGTGTTTGGTTTTAGGAATTAACAGCTTAAAATAAGCCATTTCAACAGGCCCCTGTTTGTGATGTCACAAACAGGGGCTAATTCGAATAAAACAACCTCTCATGTGCAACCTCTATGCCCAACCCCTCCCAGACATAGGACATAGGAGCTTCTCAGCTATTACCAGTGGGCGTGGCCAGAAACAACTTATTTTCTTGAAACCATGAAAGATCCCTGAAACGGCTTATTCGGGGAGGTGCTGAAAATGTCAAGAATAAAATCTGCTGAAACCACATGATTTGTGTCAACCATAGAACTATAATGACTTAGTATGTCCTGGCTTCTTTAAAGACCAAGTTCACTCATTTTTGCAGTGATTTCTAGTATAAGCCAATGACTAATTAGTCAATATCTGTGGGGAAAAAAGTTCTGGTGCTCCTGATTCAGGAAGTAGAAGTCAGCCAGACCAGAGGTGAGCTGAAGACGGCAGGTTCTGGATTCTTATTTCCTGATATTTGGACATCTTGCCTCTGATTGGTTACCAGCAACGCAACACTGGGCTTGTTCGAGATGAGCCAGTTCTGTGCAGATTCGATCACCGGTGATCGACGCGCAGTGCATGCCGGTTAGATTTGTGTCCGACTAGACGCCGACTTGCTCTGACGTCATGCATACGTAGCCAACGATAACCTCGTGAGATCAAGGCGGACACAGATTTTGGAGCAAGGCGCTGCAGTTGCTCTCCACCAGCTGCAAAACCTAGGGGATGACAGGAAACGCCTGGCTCTCACCTGATCTAAGAACTGATTGGTTCTCATTTTGATCCAAACATCCGGTGGTAGAATGCAAAATGTTAGTTGGTCACATGTATTCTGTAAATCATGTGACGTTGATGATGACAACTATATGGCCATAAAGAGAAATGTGTTTTGTGTTATTTGTCATGTTTCCTGAGAGCACACTAAACCTACAGCTGATAACCTTTACTTATTATTACAGTCATGTCTCCATATACAATATATGATATCCACAAGCATGTGAGGATATGTTTCGCTTGCTAACAGGCACCAGAATTAAAATAAAAATTAAACAAGTATGAACTCTAACGCAACATCTTCATCCGTCACCTGCGCGCTACACATGTAGGGAAATCTGTTCGGCTTACACGCCGGCTTTCAGCCACTCCCCCTGCTGCGTCCATCTGCTCTCGTCTGTTTTTCAGGCGAGGTGCTGCTCAACTCAAACAAGCCCACTACTGACCTTTTTTGTTCTGCAAATGGTAAAATGGCCTGTATTTGATACAGTGCTATCTAGAGTCCTGGAACTCCCCAAGGCGCTTTACAACACAGTCATTCACCAATTCACACACATTCAGATCCTGGTGGTGATGAGCTACATTGTAGCCACAGCTGCCGTATACAAGTGCCACCGGTCCCTCCGATCACCACCAACATTGATATTTTAGCGCCACAAATGACACAAGCCTAAAGGAGTTCTGCTGTGTGGTAGAATAGCTAAGGCTAATGGTTAGCTTCTATTAGCTGAGTTGAGCACTATTGGCTAAGACGGAGGCTAGGAGGGGGATCTGGCTCAGGTTTAGGGTGGGGGGGTTGCTTTGCTCGCCGTAGGGCCGGGGGGGAGGTGGGGGGGGGGGGGGGGGGCTGCTCATCAGCACCCCAGCAGAAAGGGTTGAACTCCCGGAACCAGTGATGGTTGCACCCTTTGTGCAGCAGTACCGGGACCAGAGTGAATAGGGTGTGTATGGGGAACATGAGTGGGTGTCCGGAGTGCATTTTTGTACTTCTTAGGTTGTATGTGCATGTGTGAGCATGAGGGAGGGAGTGTGTGACTGTGATTGTGTATGACTGTATATGTCAGGTGGGGCCTTTGACTCCTCCCCTCTCCTGGGACTTTTTTTTACTGCTATACATCTTTGTCTCCCCTCCCCCTGTCACACCTGGTGTGGAGTGTGGTGCCTTGGTCTGCCTCAGTGTTTGCGGCTCCCGGGTCAGGGGGTTTAAGATTTTTGGCATCTGCCAGATTAATCCCGGTGGCTGCCTGGTGGGATGCGAGTCCCTGGGCTCTGTTGGATCCCCGGCGGGGCTGGTCGCCCCTGGGTCCCGGGTCGATGGGTTCTGGGCTTGGCCAGCTTGGGGGTGGGAGGCTGCGGGCGAGCCTGTGGGCTTGCCGCTGATATCCCCCGGGACTCTGCCGGCTGCTGGTTGTGGCCCCCCGGGGCGATCCTCTGTGCCTCTCGAGGGGGGCAGGGGCTTTTCTGGTCACAATCTCCCTGGGTTCCCTGCACTCTGGGGCAGCTCCTGGGTCTCTGAGACTTGGAGCTCCCTCCATCTCCTACGCATCGTTGGGGGCAGATCTGTGGCCCCTCACACTTTCTATTGGATGCTCCTATAGAGAAACCTTACATAAACAAGCACGTGTACACACATGATGCTCTCATAAGTATGGACTTGGGCACGTTCAACACAGGTCTTAAGGCTATGGTTGGCACTTAGTACACTGTGATTTATTATCATGTGATTGTTCAGTAAAACAATGTTGATTTTACATTTCCTCATCAGGTTGACACAGTGATAGCTTGCTCCTGTGGTATTGTTGTGTGTCCCTTTTCTCTTTTTTTCTCCTTCTGCAGGTCTAGAAGCAGACTCTTGTTCAACATTGATTGTTTATTTTTGTATCAGATGTGATATTAAAAGAAGATGCTTTGATGCTCCACCTGAGAGTAAATCTGTAAGGCTTGTCACCAGCATTCAGACATCGATTCTGTTTGCTTCACAGCCAGACAGGACACGGGGAAAAAAAATAAATAAATAAAGCTGGGCTGAGCGCTGCTCTCACCTGGCTGCTAAATCAACAATAGACTTCCTGCTTGCGAGCCAATATGGGTGCGATCATTGATGCTAGCTTGACACTATGACATGCAAATGTCAGGCTTTTCAAATCCTAGCATTTCCCCATCTAGTCTATCAGTTTTTAACAGAGGAAGTAGGGGTAGAAGACCATTTTCACTCATCAACAAGTAAAAAAAAAACAGTTTCTCAGTTAACTTGTTTTTTAACAAATAAGAATAAACATAAAGTAGTGGAAAATGCTTACCAAAACCTAAAAGACTTCAGTAGAAATCTGACCCTATGTGGGTAATAAGAGGTGGAGAAGTAATAGTTTCAGACCGATTCTTTGCGAGTTAAGTTACTCTTATTATTTTGGCTCTTTGATCCAATAAACTTATTTTTTGCACTTCGTCAAAGTCTGTTGTAACTACTAAATGACTGGCACAGGAGACAATTACAGAGCACAGATCAGACATTGTCTTGTTGTCATGACAACATAGCTGCACACAGAGTGCATCTTGTCAAGCTCCTGACCCGTGAGCTGGTCATACGCAGTCCTCAATCCGCTTCAGAACAAAAATAGCTCACTAGGCACAAAAGTTATCATCGCTGACACCTCCTTGTTCAGGTTGCATATTTTTTTGTTGCTTCCCATCATTAGAGCCTAAAAAATGTTGTTTTTGGTGAAACACCGACTGACAATGTGTCATCCTGACAGGTCAACAGTCTTTTGTATTGTGTGGTGTGTGTGTGTGTGTGTGTGTGTGTGTGTGTGTGTGTGTGTGTGTGTGTGTGTGTGTGTGTGTGTGTGTGTGTGTGTGTGTGTGTGTGTGTGTGTGTGTGTGTGTGTGTGTGTGTGTGTGTGTCATCCAAAATAGGAAAAAGATCACTAAATGTATTCTTGGGAGTGCAATGTTTTTCAGGAAGTACCTGAAATTTTGTCACTGGCCTCTAGACACATCCACATGTTTATATTTCCTGTTTTAATGAGCCCATGCTTTAAATAACTGAGATTTATGCAGCCTATGTGTTGGGTATCTTCTGCCTCAGACAGCCACTGATAAGGCTTCCATTAGGGCCAGTATTCAAAGGCATCACACCCCTTAATGGACTCCTCTGGCTTGGCCACAAAACTATCTTATCCTCGTGGGACCAGTAAACGAGCCCGTGTTTGGTTTCCTACAGGTGTGAGAGTCTGAAACCTTCGTTGGTCCCTGAAGGGCCCCTGCTGAGAAAGTAGTGAGACTCTGATGTGTTGTCGACTCTTCCACAGCTGTTAAAGCATTCTTTGTGTAGTGGTTTACAAAACATTCAATAAAATCCTTTGAGATGGGAGTGAAAATCTAAAAGCTTAGCATAATTACTTACTTTAGTCTGTACTTTAAATACAAATTTATGGATTAAGCTATAATCCGTAATCGGAAGGTTGCAGGTTCGAGCCCCGCTCAGTCTGTCGCTGTCGTGTCCTTGGGCAAGACACTTAACCCAAGCTGCCTGCTGGTGGTGGTCAGAGGGACCGGTGGCGCCAGTGCTCGGCAGCCTCGCCTCTGTCAGTGCGCCCCAGGGCAGCTGTGGCTACATCGTAGCTCATCCCCACCAGTGTGTGAATGTGTGTGTGAATGGGTGAATGACTGGTTGTGTTGTAAAGCGCCTTGAGGGGTTCCAGGACTCTAGAAGGCGCTATATCAAATACAGGCCATTTACCATTTACCATAATATGTGAAAATTAACTTTTAAAAGTATTATGGTCAGCTTTTAAAATAATACTTTCTGGAGCAGTCATGTTTTCATAGAATATTCTGTCTCTAAAATAGGTTTTTGTGCATCATAACCACCCAGAAAACTGCACTGAATCACACAAATGTTGTACTTCTATTTAAAGGAAAAATAAGTGTGTGTTTCAACTGTGTCTGTCACATGATTTGAGATTAATTTGCTTGTAATTTATAGTGGTTTTCTCCACATTTAATGCTGCTTCTTTCATCCTAGAAGAACGATGCAAAGTTCACTAAACTTGCAGCCATTTTCTCATCTCCTTGTCTGGTTTGATGATGTCCAAGGGCGCCCCAAGGGGTGGCCAGGGGTGGCCATGGCCAACCCTAGAAATTTGCAAAGAACGAATAAAGGAGCAATGCAGTACATCACCACAGGCTAAATTCTCCCAGTGTTACCACAAGGACCAATTTGATGTGCCATCCCAAAGATTTATTTTGCCCCATCTGGCCACCCCTATCAAAATTTTCTGGAGGCGTCCCTGATGATGTCAGTTTGAGGAGATGAGCAGTTGGAGTTCACTACGTGTTTTAAGACAAAACCTAAAAAAAAAAAAAAACTTTACCGCCGGATGGAAGAAACACTTTCTTGGCACCAAAATGTGTCTTTAAAGAGCTCTGGAAGTTGACGTCACGTTTCCCGGCATGCAACAGTTCAAATCAAAACGGCGCCATTTGGCAGGCAGAAGCCAGCAGCTGGACTATTTGTTATTGTCAGAAAACTCAATCAAACGGGAAATATGGTAGATTCCTGTTGTGCCCCAGGATGCAAAACAGACGCGGACGACATAGGGAATGAGCCATCTACAGGATTCCCCAAGATCCGGAGCGCCGCAAACATTGGATCATTGTAATAAAACGCGCTAGTGACCGGGCTAAAAGGAAACTGTGGGATCCTGAGAGTAAAGGTTTTCGCTTATGCAGCGACCACTTCATGTCAGGTACTTAAACCAACGTTTCCTCAACTGTGTGTGGTATTTATTTTAAATGCTTTTATTACAATTCTTAGTGGGCTTCCTAAGACCCAACGGGAATAACTCCGTTTAAAATAACCGCGTTAATAAAAAATATTTCTTTCTGTAACGAGCAAACTAATTAATTACGTCTTCTTTTATCAAAACGTCGTTTCTGTTACTGATAAGAAAAAGCGTGCGTTAAGCAGCGCGGTGTGTTGAAGCTGTCATCAGCTGATCAGGAGCTAAAGAGGTAGATGTTTTCATCCAAGTGCGTCATGGCCCGTGAAGAACGAGGAAGACGTGATGAATATCTACGGCTGCAGACCCCCGCAGACTTGTTGCTGCAGCAGCGAATCTGCGGATCTGCAGCAGTGCCCTTCTTAGCGTGACAGCGGGACGTCCCGAAGGTCCGCTCACCTGTTCACCGCTCAGACGTCCTGATCTTCTACCTTCCTAGATCATCCAGCTGTAACCTGTTTCTGATCATGTCTTTAGTCCCGCTGTAACACTGATGCATCAGTCTCAGACGGCATGGAGCTCAGGTGTTATCAGAACTACCTGTGTGTGTTCACCACCCAGCTTCAGCTCTTCTGTGGTTGGGTCTGACCCATGTTAGTAAATGTGAGTCCTCCATCAGGCTTGTGCCTCTTCTAGTGTCATTTTAAAGGATTTTATTTATTTATTTAACCGTTACTAGATTACCTGCAACAGAAATGCTGCTAAAAACACACAATTATGTGAAGCTGGAAAAATTAAAATACTGTGCAAAATTACATTTATTTCTGTAATTTAACTAGACTGAGATTTAAAGGCTCAGGAACCTTTACAGGTGTTTCTATTATCAATTTTAAATTTTAGCTGATTGGGTTTTTGTTAAATATCACACAGTGACCTTTTAATAGTCTAGATTAGTGTAATGTTCCTATTAGTAGTTCCTCCTGTTAAGTGTTAATTTGTTTAAATTATTCAGGTTTATATAAAACATTTGGACATACATTTTATTATGTTCAGTCATTAGTCATTTATATTTTACTATTGTAGTAATTCTTGCATTCTTTAATGAAAAAGTAACTAAGTAGTTACTTTTGTTGGTAATTAGTTACTTTTATGATCTTGTAACTCAGTTAGTAACTGAGTTACTTTTTTGACAAAGTAATCAGTAACTATAACTAATTACTTTTTTAAAGTAACGTTCCCAACACTGCTTATTACTCACAGCAACAAGTAAGCATCACGTAAAACGTTGCCTCGTGAGTTCTGCGTGCTGCCGTTTACGCCAGCTCCTCCGGGTAAATCCCAAGGGGTTCCCCGGCCAGGTCCAGTAAGAAGTCCGCTCCGACAGCTTCTGGCATCGGAGCGGGCAGTAGCGTCGAGAGTCCCAGACCTCTCCCCAGCTCCTCCGGCCGGGGGAATCCCAAGGGGTTCCCAGGCACAATCTATGTGTGTGATCTATGGCACAACACCGGTAAGAAGTCCGCTCCGACAGCTTCTGGCGTTTTTAAAAAGTATCCCAGGGGCACGGTAAGGGTCGGAGATGTTTAGTCTATTTAATTTCTGACTATATAAAACGATGTCTTCGGTTTTAAAGTGTGAAGTAAACTCCGACGAAGTAAAATCCAAGCGGATCCCGTTCACGTTCATGGTTACATCCATGTTTGTTTACCTTTTTTTCCTGCTAAAATGGGTCCGGAGCTCTAAAGGTGTGGTTGACTGAAAAAACATTTTAAAGTATTATTTCTGATTGTAATCGGTCATTCTGAGTTTTTCATGCAGGCTGAATATGAAAAAAGTCTTCTACACCTATCTTCAGCATTAGCTTCTGATAGAAAATAGATTGCGAAATGCTAGGATTTGAAAATCCTTACATATCTATGTCACACTGTGCACTTTGCATTCATGGCCTCGGCCATCTTGGCTCGTGCCCGCCCACAGGAAGACTTTTTTTACTGTTTTGCAATGAGGAGAAAGAGCGAGAAAGTATCTTGCTGATAGTGATTTTGCAACATAGCTGAACATGTTCTGTTTGCCAATAAAAGGAGAGGTGTGCACATTTCATTAATATTAATTAGCAATCCTGCTATTTACAGCTCACCTCTGCACCAGCAAACTTCTGCAGCATCATAGCTTTTTTTAATGACTCATCAGACATTGAGTTACATTAAAAAAACTATGGTGGCCCTGAAGTGTAAATCACACGAACAAATCACTAAATACAACTACAAATTGAGAAGCACACAAACAAATAAGAACCACACAAACACATAGCTGCTGTCATGATTAGACTTGAGCATATCCTGTATCACCTCGTATGTATGTCCTGAATCAAAATATTCTTGAATAGAGGCAGCTATGTGGTCACCGCTAATGTTCATGTTTGGAAAATGCGCTACAAATAGAGTAACTTCTGGGTCACAAGACAAGCAGCGCAGTTGGCCAATCAGTGATGTTTCCTGTTGCTGACTGGTGCCTACCCTTTCTGGTTTCTAAATTGCTTTGTGTTCTTCTTAATTTCTTTGTGTTTGTCCTAATTAGTTTGTGTTATGCTTAATTTGTTTGAGTTTTTCTTAATGTTTGTGTTTTTCTTAATTTGTTTGTGTTCTTTTTTTGTGTGTTTTTCTTAATTTGTTTGTGTTTTTCTTAATTTCTTTGTGTCATTCTTCATTTGTATGTGTTCTTAATTTGTTTGTTTTTCTTCATTTGTATGTTTTTCTAATTTTTTTCATGTTATTCTTCATTTCTTTGTGTGATTCTTATTTGTATGTGTTTAGTGATTTGTTGGTGTGATTTGCACTTCAGGGCCACCGTAAAAAACACTGCAAATGGATTGAATAAACGAATAAACCGCACCTTTAAAATCCACAGACATATGTTAAATACATGAACATAGCACATATTAAAAAGGATCAGAAAATTATTTTTTCAGCCCATAGACTCCCATCATACTTTGGCAGTAGGGGACCAAGACTAGATGGGCGTAACTCAGGCTCTCTATTTGTAATTTTAAAGACTGAACTTAATTGGAAAACTCAGACCCGATGCTTCCAAGACACATCCAGTGTTATTGAGCTCTTGTACCATCAGAATGAAGACAGTAAAAACTGCTGCCACCTAGCGGATGGAGTTTGAATTGCACCACACACAAAAAATCTGTACACCGCTTTTAAATATTAATACAGTACCATAACATGAAATACTGCCATATTTCAGTGTATTGATGTTATTTTACATCCCTTCTGCACTTTTCTCTAGCGTTTCATACTTACCCTTTGGAAGACGTCATGCTAGCTGTTTCCTATGTGAGAGTCATGTAGAGCAGTCTATATAAGAGGCTTTTCTGTCAGTTGAGCCAACTCACAGTTTGGTCACTTGGCAAACAAAAGTAAAATTTGGAGGGATGAACAAAAGAACAACATTCTCATCGTTGATTGATTTGCAATATCAGTTCAAAACAGTTTAGCATTTTTCTGCAAAACTGTGCATAACATCATTTTAAACTCCAAATCTTAGCATAAGATGGTTTTAATGAAAACGTCTTTACTACATTAAATAGAATATCTAAGGAGCCCAATTTGATTTAAGGTTTAAAATCTGTGCTGGTTAGTTTTAGTAGCTTAACCTTTTGTAGTCTATGACAGCATGATGAGGCTGCTCACTGTTTGTATGACGTAAACAAGCCATTAGGTGTGCGTTAAGCATTTTCTATTTTAATTGTTTCTTAGGAAGAAAAATTAATCTGGATTACAGATAAAATAACAACCTTTTGTGTGGATCTTTTAGGCATAAAGCTAAAAATCACATACAAGTTAGTGAAAAAACACCTCAAAAGAATAATACAAGCTCTTTAAAATAAGGGTGTAATATTCACACACTACTTTTTTCCAGCCCCTTTTTGGGGGGAGCAATTTTGTCACTCAGATTTCAACAAAGCACAGCCTTCTGAAAGGTCAAGACTTCTTAGCTAAAAATGAACAAAAAAATAATGACCCGTGTCAGGCGTGCCTTCATCTGCTGACGGTTACACGCTCCGAACAAAAAGTCTATTTTCCACGGGTGCTGTCCTCTGTCCTCATAAAGGAAAGCTTGTAATTTACCACATTCAGCCTTATTAACGTACAAAGCCTGGTAATGAGATGTGCGCGGGACTTAAAGGCCTTTTAATCAGTGGAAAGGAGAAATGCTAATTTTACTCCGAAAAGAAGTTTTATTTTTCTCTACAAAAAGGTGAGACATACAAACAGGTAACATCACTTTGCAACCAGCACGCTGAGACATAACATTCCTATTTTTAACACCATGTACTTTAAGATGAACAGGAAACCTTTCCTGTTTAATATCAAAGAGGTCATCAAATTCTAATCTGAACACCAAGCAGGCACTTGGCAAGGACTCAGTATTCAAGTAGCAATAATACGATTTCACTCGCTTGTGTACACATCACCTGAGGTCCTTAAGGTGTTCGGAGGATGTATTTAGAGGGACAGATGGTCACTTTGAAAGCACACCATGTTTTTATTATCCTATTCCAAAAACACAGCAGTTCCTGGGATTTCTCTAATCAGAGATTTTTTTCCTTCACCACCGAGGAGTGTTCAAGTTTCACAGCATTTTAGAAAAATAATTGTTTCATTATGTACAACATGAACAGTAGAAACATGTTCACTCCATTATATACAACATTCCTTGCTTGGTCCTAGCTAAACAAAAACTCAAAGGGTGAAAGATTCACAGAATGTTCTCTCTGTGATCAGGCCTTTCCACTGGATGCGTAGTCAGCGCGTAACGTATCAGACGCATTTTAGACGCTAAATCAGCAGTGTGCACCTTCTCACCAGGAGAGTTGCATACAGCTGGTCCCAAGTGGTCACAAAAATATCCAAAGGCAATAGCAAGACCACACATTATTTAGACAGTTCACAAAAAAAAACCCTCCCACTGTCCTAATGGGTGTGACCCCGTGTGGAAAGTTGACCATTGAGTAGGGTTGATGGTTTATCCCTTGAGGTCCACATGGCAGGGGTGAGGAGTGAGCACCACCTCACCCCTGCCATGTGGACCTCAAGGGATAAACCATCAATCCTGCTCAATGGTCAACTTTCCTCGCGGGGTCACCCATAAAGATGGTGGGAGGGATAACAAGCTAAGAGAAAGATGGCTAGCCTAGAATCTAGATTGTCAGATAGCAGAGGCAAAATGATGGCTTAGTGATGCTCCATGGGAACCTCCACAGCCCGGGACAGTCTGGTACCGGTCCAATCACAGCGCTCTGATGCATCTTCAAGTGTATGGCGGACTGCCCTTTGACTGTCATCCTTAGCGGTCTAATCACAGCTCTCTGTTTGGTCAGCTAATTACAGCGCTCCATCGGCCAGGTAGGCAGGGTGTTACTGCGGCTGAAAGAAACTAGTATGGCGACGGCTTTGTAGTGGTCCAATCACAGCACTGTCGGTGGGTGGAATGTTACTGAAAAAAAAGAAGATGGCGACGGCTCATTTCAAATGGCTTTGGCATTAACGTTGGACTATTTAGACTTGAGCTTTAATTTGAGTCAAGAGCAGAGGTACTTAAGTTTATTTGCATCTTCTTTGACAAAGTATGGCAGACTGCCACATTGACTGACATCCGTAGCGATGAGTACATCACATTGGTTGTTATCCAATAGCAAGTGGAGACAGTTTGAAAAACAACCCACCCCATGACTGAGATCTGTCAATGGGCCGTGGCCAGACAATATATTTACATATAATAGTTGGCTTACCGGCTAAACGCATGTATTCCAAAGGTCTGGGGTTTATTTGGTGTTCTGCTTACCTCAGCTACAGACGTTCCACAGGTAATGAATAGAGTTTTTTTCTTTTTTTACTAGTTAAAGCTACAATTTCAAATTTGGAAAACAAGATAGCTTAAAACACAACATTCTAACATCATATAGCTATAAATATGTGAAGATAAAAATAAATGAAAAACAAATTATGAAGTGGTTCTCTCGCATCTGTCCTCCACCAATAACACAGCTCGGATCAAATGCAACCATTGGACCATCCAGTTGTCAGTCTCACTAAACCACACTTCCTGGGTCCTCCACTCATTACACGCGCTCGCATTCAGCAACAAAGCCCCACTGGTGTGAGGGGAGCTCCGCTCAATAATATCAGTGGAGGGGAAACAGCTGGCTGCTACCACTGCAACTTTAGGATCAACTACCAGAGTTCCAAAAAGAAAAACACCACTTTAAGTCACGGACAACAAAAACATTTGGACCTAGAAAATGGCGACAGGTGTTTAACGCTATCTCGCTTGCTCTTGCAAGGCAAGTTTCCGGTTCTAGCGGACGTGGCCCAGGAATGACACTCGAGGGGAGGGGTGAGTGTTCCATGACCGTGGTTGTGTTCAAAAGATAGCTTGTTCTGTAAATTTGCTTTGGCAGCTTTAAAACAACTGGAAATCTGTGTGTCTTTTGATGATTGTCGTGTGTTTTACACTGCTTTTGTGTTTGACTCCCTGTCTGGCCTGACTAGAACTAGAGCTTAATGCATTCTGGAAGCATTCCACTTCCAAAACACATCACTTCACAGCCGGGGGAAACACACCCATCAACTATAACAGCAGCTAACAGCTAATTGCTGCATTCATCGCTTCGTGAACATTACGAGACGCCTGCCTACACATCCAACGTAAAGGCCAGGAACCTGTTAAAAAAATATATGATTACAATATGTTCATGAGATATGTCTGACTTTTTAAATATGCATTGGAAATGTATCTGACATAAAACATTATTTAATGTCATAAAAAACCTAAACAACCCCCTGAAGGCACTCAAATATCACTCCTCATACAACCATAGGTGTAGTTTTTGTTTGCGAAGCAGCTCCAGTCAGACTTCTTAATTAGGGAAAATAATTCTGATAGGTTTGAGGTATTTCAAAGACCGTAAGATTATAATTCATCTGCAGACATTAAGCTCCAGTGTGTGGCATTTAGAAAAGTGTGTTAATAAGAATGAGATACAATACCAGTAATTATGTTTTCATTAGTGGAGAATCGTGTAAAAATTAGGATAATGTTTTCATTACCTCAGAATGAGTTCGTTTACATCTACAGATGATTATTTCTTTTTGCTGGAGGGGCTGGGTGAAGCTCATAAATATTCATGTGTGAAAGGCAGCTGAGTTCGACAGAAGGTGTCCGACTGGTTCGAGTCATGATGAGAAAATCTGTTTGGTTCACGACGGTGGTGAGAAACAAAAGGAAAAGAGCAGCTCATATTTTTGCCTCCAAATCAAAATTTGCAGGGATTTTTTTCTCTTCCACGCAGACTGTTAGGATGTTTAGAATAAACTTTTGGACAGAGTAGTTTTTCCAACCTGCTTGGGAAGGTTAAAGGTGACAATTTATTACTAAAACTCAAACTGAAGGGATTAATGTTAAGATGTTATTTAGAGAACTTTAGAGACTTGTTAACAGTTGATCTTGATGCATTTGATAAAAATATTCATTTTCTATTAAATATCCTTTGAGATTTGTTTCCTCCATAATTTTAAATTAGCTGCAAATTCGTTAGCATCTGCGAGGCTTGCAGGCTTGTTGGCCTCAACTGTGACTCTTTTTGAGATGAATAAACTTTACAGCACAAAGAGTCAAAGGAGATAAAAATACACAAATAATAAAAATAAATAAGTCTTTACCCACCAATGCTGGACCTGTTCCAACGTAAGGTTATACAGGGCTAGAGCTGAGCAAAGAACCACAAGAGTTGACCGTGTGCCCCTTACTGTATTGATGCCGACTCTCTGATGTCAGCACCTGTTGCCATGGGAAACCAAGCAGCTATAAGCCCAGACTCCTCAGAATATATCCATCTTTCTTTGAGAAAAGACATAAAGGGAACTAAATGTTCCATGATTATTTTTGTATAAAACAGGAATTGATTTAAAAGTCAGCCAGTAAAACTCTTGCTTTTATCTCAACTTGACAGAACAGGTGGTGAGAGGATGTGCAGCCGACCAGCTGTGCTGACATCAGATTGTGCCCACAGCCGAAACATTAATGCTCTCATTAACAGTGGAGACCACCTCTGAGTTGTGTCCTACAATATTTTAAAAGCTATTCTGCAAACTGGTCTCTTCTCCAGCTGAGCAGCTTTTATGAGCAGATGTGCAGCTTCCAGCAGTTTGATATCCAAGCGCAAGCCCCTAGCGCCACTCCTTCAGCTCGGACCTGACAACGAGCCAAAACCACACCGTGCTGTGCGGTCGAAAAAGGCAGGTGCAGCTTCTCGTAAGAGAATATATCCTCCGTGGAGGGTGGTAAGCAGCTGCTGTTCTGTTTGCTGGCCATGCTGTTACAAGAGGAAGCGTATGTTGTGTGGCTAAGAGCCACCTGGTGTGGGTGTGAAGAGCCAGGACAGGTTAGGAGGAGGACGCGGCAGCAGAGAGCGGGGGGATCAGGCACTCAGGGTCATGTTACGGAGCAGCCACTGTTGGGAGCGGCTGCCGTTACACTCTCTCAAAGTAGGGACCATCTTGTCGTCCTCAGACGGCATGTCCAGGCATTGGTTGCTGTTCACGTGGAGCAGCGTGAGTCTCTAAAGGGAGAGAAGGAAAACATGGATAAGTGTACGGGTGTCACAGGACTCACCTGTTGTGCTGGTTGCTGAAAAAAGTGATTATGTACAGTTACTATTTACCTTTTCTGATATCATGCCTTACTGGAGTCCTAGACCCCCCCCCCCCCCCCCCACACACACACACACACACACACACACACACACACACACACCCTGGCGGTGATAAGCTACATTGTAGTCATAGCATTAATTGTGAGGTGAAATGAGCCAAATGGATGGTAATTCATAAGTGTTCAAAACCAATTGTCATAATAATCAAATGACAGGAAGTCTGGCGCCAGGGTTAGTTTTGACAATTAATTTTTGTTTAGTTTTAGTCTTTTGGCTAAAGTTCTTTAATGTTAGCCACAATTAAGTCATCCTTTTTTTGTCTTATTTTAGTTGACTGAAAAATGTGTTTTTTCTTCTTTTGATGCAATAATTTTCAACTTGTGGAAAGGAGTTTTTTGCGAGTGAATGGTTCAAACTCACATCTGGGTGCAAAAGAAACAGGGGTGAACACATATCGACGTAACACCAGCATAAACATCAGTACAAGATGTCTGGTTAGCGGTAGCTTGTTCAAACAGCGGTCGGCTCCGGATTCTGATTGGTTCCTTTCTTGTGTAGTTCCGCCTTTTCCATTTGCTGATTAGTTATTTTCTCTAGTTGCCCATTTTTCCATTTTCTGATTGGATTTTCATTTGTCCATTTTCGTCAATGTCTCTTATTCGTCAACAAAAATGTTGGTCAATATTTGTCATCAGTTAGTCATTATTAGTGTGGACAGGGGCAGATTTAGGACTGAAGAAGATTCGGGGCTTAACAAACGCACGTGCGCTCACACACACACACACGTGACACGCACTAGTCAACATCACATATATATTGTCTTGTACCACATAATTTTTATTCTGAAGCTACATATTCAGGGCAGAGTATTGTTCCTGTTAGTGTTTAGTGTGAGATGATAGTAAATATTCCCTTTCTTTCTCCAACAACTTTACCTGATAAGCTAACTTTAGGCAAACCAGCAGCACAACAAATATTTTCAAATAAGACTCACAAACCTGAGTCAACACCAGTCTCATCAAAGCTGGGGTTCTGTCTTTATACTTTTGGTCTAAAAAACGTCCTTATGTCCATCTTCACTCATGCGTTTCAGGCAGAGAGTGTAGAAGAAGCCGGCTGCTGAAGGGCTTCTTCTTCAGTGGTGGAGGCTCAGGCAGGCTGTATACAAACTACTGCCAGCTGCTCCCTCTCTGTTGGACTTTGGTACTGCATGTTACTTCCACGTTTTAGATCCGGGGCTTTTCATAAAACATTCGGGGCTTCAGCCCAAGTAGCCGCGCCTAACGCCGCCCCTGGGTGTGGATATGTTTTTGTTTCATTTTAGTCCGTGAAATTCATTTGTCACGAGAAAAAATAATAAAATGTAGTCAATGAAATGAACACTGTCCAGCATTGGCCATTTCAGGGGAGAGTTTGAAGGGTCGAAGGTTCGAAGGAAAGCCTTTGGAATCCATTCTTACCTACAGCAATCAATTTCCCTCTGGGATTAACAAAGTATTTTTGAATTGAATTGAGTAAATTTTGTGTAGCTTGAGTGGTACCATAGACACGAATACTTAGACATGACATTGGGCGCTGGAAAGCGTAACAGCATTGCTGCCATATTGGGTGGATTCCTCACACTCCAAACCCAATTGAAGTCAATGCAGAGTGAACTACTATGCCCGTGTTTTGTGGTGCCTACGGTTTCAATAACCGGCGCACTACTAAAAACTGATCACGCAGGATTACTTTCGACTTTTCTAGCCTATGTGTTGGAATGTTAATTTTTTTTTATTTATCATGCCATAACATATGTCTGATTTTGTGAAAAAGCATAACGAAATGTGTTTTTAGTTGGGTAAAACACCTTCCTCGGTAGAAATAAAAGCACTGTGGGCGAATGAGAATTCATCCAAGATGGCTGATCGCTGCTACGCCAGCTTCAATAGGCAGTGCCGGTCCAGGGCATCTACGTCTGTGATGTCTGAGTGAAACGCTAGCTATGATCATGTTTCTCAGTCTGTCCTCTAAAATGTCCGAGTGGCACGGGCAGCTAAGTAATTGACAAACGCATTCGAGGATAACGGTAATGGAGCTAGCTTATTTAACAAGTGACTCATTAGATTAAAAGGAATTTTGTTACTTCACCGTGTTACTGATAACTCAACACTGTAGCTGATCGATAATGGAAAACAACAAATGGCAACAAGTGACCGTTTTTTAATCGAATAACAATTTGAAGTAGTAAAGACCATTGGTTCCACACCATTTCTCCCAACACCAACCCCTACCAGCATCATTTTTACAAATGTAATCTGGGCAACCTCACAACCTCAGCACAGACAAAACTGTGGGGAACATCTCGACATCTACGGAGCTCTCAAACTGCCAACACACCCCAGCTGATTTTAAAACATTAATTGCACATAATATGATTTTCTTGCTTGTTTTTCCAACATAAGGAATTAGTTTTAAACCGGGTGTAAGGCAGCGAGCGGTATGCAATCCTTTAAGGAATGCTAGGCTTTAATTAAAAATTCTTTCAGAGGATCTAATTAGGCAGCTTGTAAGAATGCAAATATTTACATCATTTACTCCAGACATCTTTAATTATGTGTTTTTAGCCAGCTTGTGAATAAATTTAAACGTTAAGACAGACAGTGTCATGTTTGGACAATGTTGTGTCTGGAAAAACATTCTCGAATCGACTGCCTGTGTGTTTGTCCTTGACCTCTTCACAAACAAGAAACAAATCCTGGTCTGGGTCCAAACAACGGGCCGTTCCTCCAGGTTTGTTTTAGCCTCCTCCAGCTCCTCAGGGAAATCGGCTTCATTAGTTTCTAATAGTAATATGAAAATTATGAGTGACCTTACATTATATTTATGAAGTGCACTGTTTACAACGACGACCAAAACAGCTTTAAGTGTTTATTCATTTTGAAACCATTGTTTCTGTGAAATGTTTGTTTTTAATTAAGCATCTAATCTATGTTATATTTAATGGATTATGAGCTCCAGTTTGCATTAATTGCTCCTATAAAGGTTTTAATGTCTCACCAACACTATGCATGTGATATACTGAACATTTACATTAACAATGAGACACAGAATGGTGCATTTCTTTTCCTTTTTTCCCCATTTCAGTTTTTGAAATTGTGCCATGCCCCTTAAAAAGCAACGTGTAAAAAAAGAGAATGCTAAAATTCTAATCAACAAACAGAAACCACACGCGGTTTAGTACATTTCTTTTAGTTTATCTAACTGTATTTCACAACAAATATAAAACACTAAAAAAGCTAAAGCTGATCCAGAAACAGCTGCCTTTATCTCTTTTACCACTAAAAGTAATATGGAACATGGCTGCTACATCACACATCATAGGTCAAATGGGCCATCATCTACAAAATAAATGGACCATGAGACAGGTTGTCCCAGGATCTGTCAGCTCCTCATCGGGTGACAGGGACTGATTAACAAGCCCACTTGATGAAAGACTCCGCGGGAGAATAAGCGGCGTCTGAATTCCATTAAGGTGTTTCGGTTTCAGGGTTTTGATTTTGTGTGTGCTGTCAGTTAACAGAGATGCTAGAACAGAACGATGTCATTACTGCATTTCTCTCCTGCTGTTTGTCCCCTCTCACCTGTCAGTCCTGCCTACCTGCCGTTTCTGTCGACACAGGACAGAAAAGCCAAAAACACGAGAAGCTAAAAATCTACCTTGATGTAATGAAATGGACATGAGATTTAGATCATCTGGAGAAAATCTGTAGGTGTCCCTCCAGGACATCAGGGCATCTCCCAATAGGCCCGTTTCTACTATCGGAACTTCTTGGTAATTTTACCAGACATGTGCGGCATACATGTGTCTAAAGAGGGAACCCCGGACACCCAGAACTGCTCCCAACACGGACGTGCCAAAAATTGCAGTTTCACCCTCATCCGCTAGGGGCTTGCACCAGAAGTGAGCAAATCCTCATTGACTCCCATGCTAAAATGCCAACTTCACAGCAGAAATAAACATTTTTACAGCCTGATTCAAATAAACATTTTAGGATAAATAGATCTACATAGTTTACAGTCATGACAACTCAGAGGGGGTGACTTTTTTGTAACTCTTCCATTTAGGTGTAATTAAATACTTGACATTATGAATAATTAGATTTGACTGACAGGTAGCATGAGCTAATGTTAGCAGGGAAGGCCTCAGCCTGGGACTCACATTAATAATGTTGGGCCATTTCCACTCTCTGAACTTTAGTTGTGTCCTCTGTGTTTGGATGTCAATCGTGGAATTATTTGGACAAAGAGGGCAAGCTGTGATTATTGACTGCACTAACAGATCATCCAAGCAGTTTCTGCTTCTTTTTATCAGTAAAATTATATTTCTGTACCTTACAACACTGGTTGAATCGGGACAAATGCTGTGCATTTAAGAAACCACTGCTTGGTCAAAGATGGGTTGAAATATAATGAGTTGGTGTGGCTGCTGGGTAACGAAACTAGAGCTAGGTGAGCTGACTGAGGATGGCAAAGGCATTCGGGCTTCTCTGGTCCACCGCGGCCAAAGATCTGCGAGGTCACCAATGCACAAACAGTTTGCTGGATTTTGGTGCTGTGTTTCCCTTTAACACAGGCGGCCATGCACTCAGAGATCAGCAACTCTGCCGCTACATCTACCCGGAGGCAGTCCAGAAAGACAAGCGCCTGTAATCTATTATTTTGTTCTTTTTTTTACACATTTTAGTAAAAAAAATGTCATAATAAGTTTGACGGTGTTGGTGGCGTCACTTCCGTTTATCAGCGGGCAGCAGAGGACGATGTCGCCCTCTACTGGCCGTGTCCTCCTTGCTGATGACCCTGTCGCATGCATTATCCAATGTGAATACTCCATCGTGTCTGTTCATGGTTTTGTGTCCAGATCTCAT